CTTCGATAATGACGTCCCCGGTTCCATGTGTCAAAGATACCCCACCTATTCCAATTATTGTTTCCTTGTTAGGCTGAAAATTTATCAACATATTTCGATCAGGTACCACATGAATAGAAGCTCCGGTATCTGCTATTATTTGGATACTTCGGTGAACATTGTCTTGGTTCCCAGGTGTAGCAGTAAATACATAGCCAACTTCGAGAATTTCATCTTCTTGTGAGGTATTTGAAATAACTGAGTTGGCGTTGGATAATGTATTTTGTCTTGCTTTGTTTTGCTTTGTCTTTTGGCTTCTTTGTTTAGAACCTTTGTCATACGCGCCGCCTCCTGATAACCAACATGATAGCCACCCATGTCCAGCTTTATGACAATTGTAGCATTTGCCATCGATATCGTGTTCTGGTTTTGGCGTTTGGTTTTCATCGGAACTTCTCACCGGAAGATTGCGGGCGACGTTAGCAAACTGTACGTCTTCATCTTCTTGTGCTAATCGTCGATTGTTTTCCTCACGGATGAGTGAAGAAATTTTTGCAGATTGGAGTTCTTCGACATTTTGGAGACGCGCTAAAATTGTGGAGCGCCAGTTTTCCCAAGAGGACGGAAGTCCACTTAGAAGCAATAGAGCGAAGTATTTGTCAGGGAAGTCTTCTCCTAGTCTGATAATTTCTTCGTTTGCTGTTTCATGCCTCGCCACGTAGTCTGCAACATCTGATCCTTCTGAAAAATTAGTCTTAATTTGATTTTTGAGGGCGACAAGAATGGTAGTAGCTTTTCTTGGGCGATAAATGTCGTTGAGGAGCTTCCAAGCGCCAACAGGATCAGTCGGACGCATTTTGACAAGTTTAGCCCATTGATCTTGGTGAATAATTTTCTTCAGGTAGTGATGTGCTTGCCTTGCTTCTCTGTCCCATGCAACTTGCTGTTTTGATCTTTTGGATATTTTGGTTGCGTCTTTTGACTTTAGGTCCGGGGGGCGAGGGTATGAGCCATCAAAAAACCTCCAATAATCAAACACATCCAGATCATTTCGAATGGTATCACTCCAGGCTAGCCAATTTTCGCTGCCGCTAAGTTTTGCGTCACCATAACTGTAGAAACAGTTCTGAGCCGCTTTATCTCCGGTACTAACAGACTCGGGGTATTCGTCCCAGTTGTTCGACATGTTTGATGATTTCAATAGATCGATCTTCTTTTCTATATTTCACTGATCACCGAATTGGTGCTGATAACGCTTGTTAAATATTGTTAAATATTGATCACAATTGATGGGAGCACGGTGTCAGTTGAATACTTCTATAATGAAATCGTATCTATATTCATTTCCTTATTCTTTCTAACTACAGGATTTACTAGGCTTTTAATACTACATCACAGAGAACGCTAGTGATAAATCATATGGCAACTTGTTGGGGCAAAGAATCTAATCGCGGCTTCCTTACAAACTGTACTCCCTCAACAATTCGATCATACACTTTGAGGAGCCCTTAGCCCTTCATTATCTCCTCTCTCCAGCTAACGAAACGATGGCCATTTGCGGGTGTATGGCAGCCGGTAGAAATCACAAAAACCAATGGGTGCAGAACTCTCCTAATGCCGATATTAGAACTAACCCCGAAGACATAGTGCTCCTTCTGAAGCGTTCGAAGAGGCCGGCCAGCTGGGCGCTGCAGACTTGCGGGTACCTCGGGAAATTCACATTCTGCCTTTCTAGCCTCCTTCCAACTCCTTCCCGAAGGTCGTGCTGAAATATCAGAAAAGTCTTGACAGAGCGTGATTTCTGTATGGTAGCTTAGCCTAGCTTCTTTTGTGCCGTCCAGGGCGCTGGGGAGTGCCGTTGACTCATTGACAACTGAAGCCCTCCTGGCTAATTGACCAAAATCTTGGTCTTGGCACCCACAAGCATTCCAAAGTTGAAAACCCCTCGAAAATGTCAGTCCCAGCATGGTCTCTAGAGACCTGTTCTCCCTCTCTCTCCACGTCTCAGCCACCTGTGCATTCTCAAGATGTGTTACCCCATTTGAGCACCAGTCCCCCGTAAACCAAGACCCCAACTTTGTATATTATGACTTAATTTCGTCCGTGCTGGTATACATAGTGTCATAAATATGTAGCGGGTGACGGCCGGTCATGAATAAGGCAAGCTCCTGTTTGCAATTGGGGCAACGCCTTTATCGGTCGTCGAGGCGAGATGATATGTGATTAGAAAGAGGTTGAATATTCATAGGAGAATGTTGAGTGCTGCATGATTGATAAGTCGTCAAATGGAGATATGCATGTGTTTGCTTTCGACTTCGATTCGGATGCGGTTCTTCTTAGCTATCCTAGATCAGACGCTTAGTACAATGCCTCTGGCATATAAAATGTTAACCTCGAAATTGGGATGTTTAAGGGATTATCCCTGTAGGCGCAGTTGGCCTAGCTCGTAATAGGTTAGTATGTCTCTCCTCCTTACCCCGCTCGTTATGAAGTATGGTCCAATTGAGATTCCTGATGGATTAGTATGTGTGAAAAGTGAGATAAGCTTAGCTTTAAGATGGCGTAGGTTACGGGTGTCTCGTGGCTCCAATCTACCAATATGTATAGTAGAGCTTAAGACTAGATGTAACTTGGTTTTCTATTAATACAGGGTATCGTCTATATAAGTACAGTATTCCTAATCTTGCGCCCGGACTCCAACATGAACAACATTACATAAGCATTACAATTTATTAGAGCCTCGTACTAATCTAGAGGTCTGTCAATCTTGGATCCTCACAATCGTCTTCTTCTAACACTCGCTTAGAAAAACACATCTTCAACGACATTTTTGGCTGCCTGACCCACACAGTCCCCGAAACTTAACATCACTCTCAATTCATCCTCTCTTCTAGCAAACAATGTCTCTCCAAGCCGGCAAAGACGAACTTTCACCGTCCAGTGGTGCCGTTGTAATCGCTCAGTATACTATGCATATCTAGGATAGTCAAGAAGAACCGCATCCGAATCGAAGTCGAAAGCAAACACATGCATATCTCCATTTGACGACTTATCAATCATGCAGCACTCAACATTCTCCTATGAATATTCAACCTCTTTCTAATCACATATCATCTCGCCTCGACGACCGATAAAGGCGTTGCCCCAATTGCAAACAGGAGCTTGCCTTATTCATGACCGGCCGTCACCCGCTACATATTTATGACACTATGTATACCAGCACGGACGAAATTAAGTCATAATATACAAAGTTGGGGTCTTGGTTTACGGGGGACTGGTGCTCAAATGGGGTAACACATCTTGAGAATGCACAGGTGGCTGAGACGTGGAGAGAGAGGGAGAACAGGTCTCTAGAGACCATGCTGGGACTGACATTTTCGAGGGGTTTTCAACTTTGGAATGCTTGTGGGTGCCAAGACCAAGATTTTGGTCAATTAGCCAGGAGGGCTTCAGTTGTCAATGAGTCAACGGCACTCCCCAGCGCCCTGGACGGCACAAAAGAAGCTAGGCTAAGCTACCATACAGAAATCACGCTCTGTCAAGACTTTTCTGATATTTCAGCACGACCTTCGGGAAGGAGTTGGAAGGAGGCTAGAAAGGTAGAGTGCGAATTCTCCGAGGTACCCACAAGTCTGCAGCGCCCAGCTGGCCGGCCTCTTCGAACGCTTCAGAAGGAGCACTATGTCTTCGGGGTTAGTTCTAATATCGGCATTAGGAGAGTTCTGCACCCATTGGTTTTTGTGATTTCTACCGGCTGCCATACACCCGCAAATGGCCATCGTTTCGTTAGCTGGAGAGAGGAGATAATGAAGGGCTAAGGGCTCCTCTAAGTGTATGATCGAATGAGGACTTGTGAGGGGTGGTACTGTTTGAAAGGAGCTGTATGGGAGGTATAGTAGGGGAAGTACTACTAGCATATGTATCCTTGGCCTGAAGGTTGAGAGGACCTAAATGTCCTTAGTGATAGACTCAGTAGGATAATAAACACAAAAAAGTAAAACAATGTAGTGAGTAAATTTCCTTTGAATGCCTTCCCAGATTGGACTATTAAAGCAAGTAACCATCACAACACTAATTACTTTACACTAAGGCGCAGGACTGTCCGTACACGACCAACACTCTTGTAATTCAGCAACAGAGCGTTCACGCTAGTAGGTCTGAGATCTTGTTTCCACTCTTCTTTTAGAGGTGGATGTGTTTACATTTTTCTCAGTTTTACCTATTTGGTACCTCCATGGCCTACACAATCAATTTCAGACGTAAAGTTTAAAAAATTGAATGACTCTTTTAGAAGTTTGGAACACTCAGACTCATAATTTATCCCTAGATACCACTTAAAGGTATCACTTACGGCTTGTAAGCCCTCACATGCGGAAGTAAGCTGGATATCTTTTCATCAAGGGTATTATCTCAATGATTTTTAAAGTAAAATAAGAGACTAGTAGCTTTGTACAAGGTGCAGCCTAGGTCATAGAGGAGCCCAATGTGCTAGATAGTTGTTGACTCGAAGTTCATAATAAATGGCAAAAAAACAGCAGCATCATTGGACTAATATCATTATGAAGTCTTCATTTAATGATACCCTAAGAGGAACTCTCCGATCTTCATATTCAACTCTCATCATTCAAAAAAACTCGCTAGAGCTGCTGATATTGAACATCTACCCATATTAAATTAGCTTGTGGTAACAGCCCTTGTTTAGTTGTTAAAATTAAGTTCTGTTGCTGTCAATCTACTTAATGTCGGAATTATGACCCGCAAATATCTTGGGTTTCCTATTTCTCCACAAGTAATTTACTGCTAGAGCTTCGATATAGTATCATTTAGCCTCCATTCGTTTTCTGTCGATTAGGTGAAGATAGCCAAATTCGATTCTTTTCTGAGTCGATACTAGTAAGGGCAGCTTTTCAAAGAAAAAAGCACATAATTAAAGCGTTAAACTATGTGGACAGTGAAAAAAAAAGATTTACAATTATTATTGGCTATAGGTTTTGAGTATTAAATAACCACGATGTAAGTCTCTAAAAGATTGCCTCAAATTTACCTTCAATTTCTATTATCTTTTCCACCGCCTTTTTGTAACCGGGCTGTTTCTCCAGTTCATCTACATATGCGCTAAGTACGGGATACTTAGCCTCCGTCAAACCTGTTAGAGAAGATTTAGACTTAGCAGCTATGAGCGGGAAACTCATCAGAATATCGGCACCGGTCAGGTTTGGCCCACACAGGTATTTACCGCCATTTGGGGCTGAACTTAGTTGTTGCTCGAGGAAGCCAAAATGTGTTTCAAAATTTGGTCCCAAAAACCCAGAATGGACCTTGCTGGATATTACATGCGTGATGGGCTTTAGGAAGAAAGGAACAGGCGCGTTTTTTATTTCTGTGCATGGTAAGCAATTAAGTTATCATTTAGGAAGTATATCGACTCACGAAGAGTGACAACACCAAGCATCATGAGGGTCATGAGACTGCCCTCCGCATAATGTAAAAAGTACCTGAACCTTATCCATTCCTCTGTCTCACAGCCTACCCTTCCTTCTTGTCCTTCCCTGTATCGAACTGGAGATAGATTGGTGTTTCTCGAAAAATGATCTAATAGATATTCTACTATAAATCCACTCTCGGCTATGATCAAAGGCTGCTCCGAACTTGATGATTTAATAGAGATTACAGGAGACTTGCCCAGAGCATGTACTTTTTTGAGTTCTGGCCCTGCTAGCCTGGTTATCTTATCTCGATGGAATATCTCAAGTTCATATGGTAGATTGAGCTCCTCTAAAAGCCAAAGTATACGCTGAGAACGTGATTGCTCGAGCCTTTAGAATTATTTAGTCTCTATTGTGGCTTAGATATTAAAAACAAACCAAAATAGTTTAATTTCCACACTTTCAGCGGATGCCATATTGGCAATTGAATATCGAAGGTCCTTGTAGATTAATTCCAGACTCAGGTGCTGTACAACTGCACCATGGCATGATTCATAAAGGCAGCTAGGTTCAGGTTAACCTAGCCTCTTACATAGACGGGCCGGAATAACATAAACCCCGTCGCGTCGTGGCAAGCCAAAACTTGTACTGAAAGCAGTGTTATACTTCGGAAATAAAACACAGATACAATATATAACTACGTAATCATGGCTGGTCATCATCCCACACGTTAGGTCTCCGTATTATGATGTTTTTGGATAAAAATTGACGAGCCTGTAGCGCTCACGCAAGACCCAGCGATGGTCAAATATAACAGTTTGTCCTACCAACCCTAAGAGACTGAGCTCGGTATGGCGTTAACAGGATCTAGATATGTGGATTAATCGTTACAAATACTTTCGTTGGACTGGACGGACTGCCAGAATCACTTTCGCATATGTTGTGGTTGTTCCTTCAATATTGGGCTACCTTGCGTATAAAACAGACGTGAGAAATTAGAGGTCCCTCTAAATGTTAATAAATTCTAATATTTTTCAGGGCAAGTACGACATGAGAGGAAAGCGCCGTGGCGACACGATTTATGAAAGGTAGAAGAAATGCAATAATCATGCTACACGAAAAATCACTACCAACATTGCTAGGTGAAGAACGCGCTTGTTCTTGCGAATCCGCGTTTATAGCTTCCAAACTTGCTCAATCCATATATAAACGCCTTTATTTGGAGAATAGGGTCATTCTTGGAAGTAGGTGATGATTTGAAATTCTGAAAGATTGATGTTTAATATCTCCCTCCTCTTCCTCCCCCGAATCCTCCGCCAAAACCCCTTCCTCTGCCTCCCGATGGTCCATCTGGTAATCTTTCCCCTCGTCGCCATTCCCCAGGGGGTACTCTTGGTGCGCCTCTCCCCCTGTATCCGCTTCCATATCCGTTATCTCTATAGCTCATATGATGACCTCTTGATACATATTCTCCGGCTCGTCCTGCGGTATAACTTGTTCTAGCCATGGGTGGTGGTGGCGGCGCTACCGTACCGTCCTGATCTGGCGGAATTATAGCACATGCAATGTAGTCACCAATCATAAACTTCGCGTCTTGCAGCGTTTTCTCAGGTTCGCCCCCTAGTGGTCCGACTAGCTGCCCTCCACTAACATAAGGCGTATCTTCTTCGTCTGGCAAACTGTTAGGCATATTGTCCCCAATTACCACACTTCCCAAATCTCGCATGACAAATTTTCCGGGTCCACCAGTGACAGATGCCGGGGCATTACGTGGAACTTGTTCGGGATAGATTAATCGAAAAGCAATGCGGCAACCAATTGCAGGGTCGGGTAGGACGGAAGGTAGCGAATCGCTGAGAATGTGCGAAAGCTCACGCAGCGTACAGCTGGACCATGTGTAAATCTGAATATGTGAAGGGAGATCTGCTAAGGGCTGGAATTCCTCGAGTCTAGAGATTTAAGGATTAGAAATATACTAAGAGCGCGTAGGCTGAATCTTTAGATACCTATGAAAGCTGCCAACTTGATAGAATATCTTGAGTAAGAACGGCGTAGTGGTCTGACGATCGACCTTTCCCAGTGGCGCGGCCATGACTACGTGGAGAGACAGAGATGGTGGCGATTGTGAATAGAAGGCGTAGCGTTCCGTTGATCGCTGGCGGACGTGGCGACGCGACTGAGGCCGCCAAGAGGGCTTTCAGATTGCACCTCTCGTCATGCGAACGCCCCGCCATTCACAACAATATTCTCATAATGGACTTTGCCGCTCTCATGGCTAACGCCATTGCAGTTGCAAAAGCCCCAACAGTTACAGAGGACCAGCCCAAGAAATTCGTGAAGCGCTCGGAGCTTGAAGCTGAGCGTCGAGAAAAATATCTCGCGGATCAGAGAGCCATCGAGTCGGAGAAGGCAGCCAGGACCTTACAGAAACGAAGACAGGAAGATTTAGAAGCAGAAGCCAAATCCAAGCGAGAATTGAAAAGGCGCAAGCTCGCCCAAGAGTCGCGGCGGCAGCGGGAGGAGAGGGAAGCAGAAGAGGAACGAGCTACGAGGAAACGACTAGGCCTACCCGAACACGAAAATGAAAAGGTAGAAGAGACTACGACTGATGATATTACAGATGAAGAGCTATTCAAGGGGTTACGAGCAATAGGTCAGCCGGCTAAATTATTTGGAGAGAGTCACAAACAGCGATTACGTCGGCTCAGCAAGCTCGGCACCATAGTTAGCACAAGTATCATCCCCACCACCTTGGAGCTATTGGGTGAAAAAGACATGAAGGTCGAAAGCGTTCCAAAAGATAGCGACGGAAGGAGATTTCTCTTTCGGCAACTAGCATCCTATTTTACCATGGTGATGACAGAATGGGAATCAGCATTGAATAACGAAAAGAGAGATACATTTGCCAGCAAGGCAGCTCATACCGCCATGCTCCAGAGCAAAGAAAGCATGACACCGGTAAGCCAGAATCGTTCCGAAATAACATGTAACTAACCAGTAAAAGCTCTTTCGTAAGTTTGAGAAAGCAGATCTCGATGATGGGATTTTGGAGCCTATTGTAGAAATCGTCAAAGCCGCCCAGGAGAGACGATATGTAGATGCTAACGATGGATATCTGCGACTCAGCATTGGTAAAGCTGCATGGCCAATCGGAGTTACCATGGTTGGAATTCACGAACGGAGTGCTCGCGAGAAACTACATGAAAATGACAAAGGTCATGTGATGGGCGACGAGATCACCAGGAAGTTTCTTCAAAGTATCAAAAGATGCCTAAGTTTTGCTCAAGTACGCTGGCCTCCAGATGATATTCGACAACTCATGGGATAGTTGGATAGGATATATAACCTCTAAGTTTCTCTTCCTCTGCAATCTATACTTTGTTTGAGAGTGCCATCGCGTCACTGCTGACGTTTTTTTAAGCAATATGGTCATCTATGAGCAGATCAGTTTGGGATTTTCTGAGTTCATGTAGGCCATCCTGTCAATTAAAGCATAATTGTCCACGATACAGTCCTCGTCCTGATACCAAGTAATTATCGTTTATCTTGCGTTCTATTTCGGCTAAAAACGCATGCTTGAATCGGCAGTGAGATCATGTAAAGCGGAAGCTCTCTACAGTACCAGCATGCCCTTCAAATATCCGGGCGTCTTAGGCTTCAGGTCCATGTTAAGGTGAACAATTATCTTTTCTTCATAAAATTGTCGTGATTTTACCATAACAACCACCAGATATGGGGAAGAGAATTTGTTACAACTAACAACGAGGAGCCTATGACAGAAAGTTTCAAATTAGCGGTGGCTCTTCCAAAAATAGTATGTTTGAAAGAGTAGATTTATACAGCAAGAGTCCTAGGAATAAACTAGGAGTCAATTGATATTGACAGGTGTGTAATATATATCTAGCTCTACATTTTAGATTGAAGAATTTAGTAGCCTTGGCAAAACCTGGACGTTTTTAATTGAGCGGATTAACTGATTCAGTCTGTTACCAAAACAACCATCACACTCAACCGAGACCAAACTTCAATAATAGTCTGATACTCACCAACCCCATATGGGAAAGAGCTATAGCTCAGTAGAATTATTTACATTAAGACTCCCTACGTAAACTTTCCCCGCTAGCTGTTTTTGTAACTAGTGTTAAGGCTGTCATTGACCACCAAAGACTCGCATTCAAGAGCCTCATAGGAGCAAGTATTACGCCATACAACAACTGCTAATACTAGGGGCTCGCCGAATTAGACTAGTTCGGCGAATTCACTTCTTTTTTGTACCGAGATTTTGAAATTCTAAATTTTAATTTTCTGCATTTGTTCATGAATGACTTGAACAGTCTCTACATGAGCATCTTCACCTACTTTCCACGCTCTTAGCTTAACATCCTGAGATTCCAGTATTTGCTCGGCTTTCTTCCACCTTCGTCTCCACGACTCAAGTTTTTTATTTATAGGGGGGTTCCCTTGGGGAATTAATTTATCCTCAAAGATATCATTATTAGTCTTATAAGCGTTACTGGATAAATTATTCATGGAAGCATTTTTGATACTGTAATATGGTGGGGGTCTTAAAGGACTATCTAAAGTAGTTGGAGTTGCTGGTTTGTAGTCTGATTTAGTCTGCCTCAATGTATCATATGGTCTTTGAGGTTGTCGGTTGTGAGTTACTGATTTTCCTAGTATCTGATACGGATAAGAACAATCTATTGATTGTTTCGTTATTAAAGCGCCGTCTTCTAGTATTTGAGTATCCGCACATGGGTCATGACAGTTTGAAGGTGTATTTTTTTGCTGTGATACAGACTCACACGGTGGAGCTCGAAGTGCCATGGGCTTTGGAGGTCGAGGTGGGAATTTTCGCCTTTCATCGGTAACAGGTGTGGCATTTTTCTGATGTCCCTTCCCACTCTCCACACTAGAAAATAATTGAGCCGAACTTGTCTTTTTCGACTCATAGTTATTTTGAGAACTTTTCTGGTCAACATCGACTAATTTTCCCATAATTGGCCCACCGGCCGTTGGCAAAAAGACCTTAGGCATCGCTTTTGATTGATCTGCCTGTTGATCGGCTGTGGGATTTGATACCCTTTGCAAAACTTGACCTTCTTTTATGTTCATTTTATGTGGTGAAGAGTCGCTGTAATTTTGGATAGAATCAAAATAAAAAGTAGTAGAATCAAAGAAATCATGCATCATATCACGTATCAGTACCATTATAACTCTTCCTGGATTTGAAAGGACAATATCACAATAAACCTCGAGATCAGCCTCTCCTGAGTCTCCAACCAAAATAAATGATCTTTCAGGAAAATCTGATAATATTTTTGCAATAATTGGCTTTTTTCGCTCAGAAACTGGCTCTAATATTCCTTGAAGCATACCATTATAGTGCTTAAGATGATACGATCCTGGTGGAAGCCCGGCGCCTCTAGAAAATTTCAATAGCGTAGGGAATAATTGCCATGGCGAGTTAGAAACATAGTGTATACCAACACCCATATCGTACATTGAGTTATACCATTCTCTGACACCATCGATAGTGAGCTCTTCAAGGTTTCGAACGAATGCATTTCGAAAGGCTTCTCGAGCACCAGCCGTAATAGATGTGTGCTTTATTGTATCGTCTACATCGGAAATAAGACTGACACCCTTGGGTTCAGTTATTTTTACTAATTCAGTCACAGATAGTTCTTCTGATACCAGCACTCGGACATGAGTAGGAACAAAATCTAGAGCTGCTCGCAAAGTAAAATGGCCAGTTTCGTTGGTCGTTACAGTTTTAGAGATTGATGTCTTTTCGTTGTAAAAAAATATTGAAACAGGCATTGAGATTAGGGGGTTTGCCATAAATGGATGGAGTCGCGACATTAAGTTCGAGTTTGCAACTTTGATTTCAGCTTGAGACATATCAGAAGGGAGATTCCATGGCATTTTTTTTGGCAGATTTTTGGATTCGAAGGGATCGTTAGAAATATTCGTTGGATAACTACTTTCTGATTTACAAAACTTTCCACTGCTAGCATTCTGGTCATTTTTGGCATCTCCATGTATATAGGCATCTTGGTTTGGCTCATTTCCCAAGTAGTGTTTGTTGAAGTTGGGTTTAGTCACTAGCGGACTTTGATTAGAACTTTGTTCTTGATTCAATGCTTCAGGTGCAGGAATGCCACTTAATTGTCTAGCTAGACCTATCAAGAGTTTTAGTTTTCCTGTTAAAGGACCTTTGTGAGGAGAATATATCCAGCCTCGGACGTCTACATCAACTACTGCTTGATCTTCTTTAGAACTAAAAGATTCTTGTTGCTGATTCTCTTGTAGTTCATGAAGATTATCATTGTCGACATTTTTGGGATGGCTTTGAACATTTCTAATAGTGTTCAAGTGGCAATATTCTACAGATCCAAACCGATTTGATTTGGTGTGTCTTTTGGCATATGAAGGAAATAGAATCAATTCTTGATTTCCATTCGTGGCAGCTTTTGAATTAGATGGGGAGTTCCCAAAACTCCTGCTTTGGTCATCATTAGTTTCGAAATAGTTGCTTGTCCACTTTTCCAAGTAAGTTTGTTGATATGACTGTCTCATATCATTGGCAGCTTTCAGATAGTCGGTCAGTTTTTTTCTTCGACTACCTCTTTCAGAAACTTCCCCGACGCTAGAAATCGAGGACATGTTTCCTCTCGCGAGCTCATTATTTCTACGAAATAATGATTTTTCAGCCCTTGCAATTTTCTCAATAGACTTGTTGCAGATAGCTAATCTAGTCCTGTTAATTCTCTGAAATTTGAGAACGTAGTCGTAGATTTGAGACCGAGCGCGAGATTTGTAATTTGGAGAAACAAATCGTACAAAGCTGGCTCCTTTCTAATTAGCCTTATTCAAACGCACGAAAAGAGCTCCCAGAGAACCGTTGTAGCAAGTCCCTACTTCAAATGCCTTATGGTGAAGAGATGCCGCCAGCTTGTCCTAATAAGCATCTGTATTCTCAGTTTTCGAGTCTATTAACAGTTAATAATTTGATGGAAAGTGAATTGTGAAAGGCCTACATGCTGAGCGTTGAATAGGAGATCCACATAGATATGATGTCATCTTATTTTTTAGTTGTGGCAATGACAAAGATGCTTAAAGGTACGGGTAGTTTGACCTAGAATAAAATGCCACTAGAACCTTGATGAATATTTATTTTGCCATTAAATACACAATTTTTTATCGTTTCATTCAGTTCTCTGTCGTTTCAGAATTGCTCACGAGGGTTGCAAGAGCCCAGTGGCTAACATCAGAATCCATTAGGACACATCAAGTTTCTTGACCTCGACACTCGAGCGTTTTTCACCTGGAATGAACTAGACACCCTACACCGAATGCGATTACCCTACGTTACATGGCTTTTTGAGTGAAGATTAAACTGATCAAGCGCTTACAGAAACAGTTTATGTTATATGTACCAAATGTAATATCTGGCTTCGATAACTAATACTTCTCTATCAGTGCAAGGATATGGAGACTCTATGCCCTCGGCGCTTGTACCTTAGAGTTAGGGGCTGAACACTTTTTTAAGGTAACTTTACAATTGAGAATAAGGTTCCCTCATGTCTGGAACTAGCCATATTCTAGGGTATGTGTGTCTTGTCTTGTTCATTTACGAGTAAGGTAAAGTGATTCCCGTTGCACTCCTACTGGAGCTTAAGCACGGGTGGGGCCGGGCTGGATCAGGTTAACTACCATTAAGTACATCTACCTCGTCCCACCTAAATGACTGGACCGCCTCAGACTTCACCCATGTGTTGAATCATGTCAAGCCCAACCGTCCAGAGAACCCCCTTTTGGCGCGCCGAAGCGCAATTTCCTCCTTAGCCTCGGTCACCACGCGCCCGAGCCCTTGACTCCTTCGCCGTCTGTAACTTTTCCCTTCGATTCATTCGCAGCTTTGGCTCATCTCAGCATCTCCTCATCTCATCCAGGGATCGTTTTCTTCACTGGAGGCCTCATCCAGTCGCCCACCAAGGCCTCCCCAGTTTGTACTCCCTTTTGGTTCCTTCATGTAGCATCCCTCTGTCCTTCAGCCGATCTAATCATCCCAGAAACTTTGTAGAATGTCCACCCCTCCGGCCTTGCCCCGTCGCTGCCGTACCCTTAACCGTGAAGGTCGAAAATGTGACTGAGAGCTCAAGACCGAGGCACCAGTGCCCCAGCCTTTGTCGAATGCCCTAATTGGTGTGCCGGCGAAATGTTGTACATATTTCGTCGATGGCGATTCGTCGCAGGTCGAGTTGTTGGTGCCCTTGGCCGAGGTGAGGACGCATTTAAGGCCGGTATTTCGAGCGTATCTTC